AGCAGCCTAATACTTAACTGCTCACACCATCAGGACTCCTTTAAAATGCAATATTGCTGTTAAATGCCATCAAGTTGGTTCTGACTCATAGCAACCCCGTATAGGATTTCTGAGAGGCGGGGGGTGAGTTTGAACTGCCGACTTTGAGATTCAAACTGACCCTGATGTTGAGTGCTTATCCCATGATGCCATACGGGGACTCCTTGAAACATAGTTAATTTACATTTATTTTACTCCTTACCTTTTCAATTTTTTCATCCAGCATTCTGAAGAATTCTTGTTGGCTTTCAGAGATATGCATGCTGAAAAACAAAGAGCAATTAAAGAGTGTATTTCATTGCTTTTAAAAATCTAGCTCATTCAGATAAAAAATGCTGAGTCCTTAACCCTAGGGGCAGACATTTACATATTGCAGGCTTTCCCACTGAAATACTCTGAAGTCATATTATGGATAAATGTCATTAACAGTACTTCTACAGATGTGTTTCATAATCGTCTATCAGTACCTGTGATTTAAGGAATACAATTTCCTCTCAATATACAGATGTTATTTATAGTAACATTACTGGAAAGTGTGTGCCAGTGTTTTTCTTCAGACACACATTTGTGATTTAAAAAAAAAAAGGCACAAGCAAGCGGCACACGACATACTTCAACCTCGTGTGAAACTGCAAAAAGAAAACCCACCCTGGTTATTACACTGAAATGTACGTTTCACAATGGTTTTTAGCATCAGCATGCTATCCAACTGACGTCAAGGTGGAGGCTGATGGCAAGCGAGCTGAGAACATACCTATAGCTTGATGTTGCCCGTAAACACATGAACAGTTTATGAATTGACTGACGACAGTAACTGCTCCTCTTTGGAACTGAAGTTTCACTGGGATGTGGTTGTGAATTGGTTGGTGGTTCAAATTCACCAGCCGCTTCTTGGAAACCCTACATAGGATTGCTATGACTCGGAATTGACTCCACAGCACTTAACAACAACAATCTGAGTAGTACTTGCCTTGTGTTGTTTTTTTTTTTGTCAAGAATCCCTAGTGGTACACTGTTTCAGTCTCAGCCAAGAACTCACAGAGTGGTGGTTCAAGCCCCTGGTGATGTGTTCTGTTTCTGTAGATCACAGCCTAGACAACTGTCTGGGGCACTTCTACCCTGTGAGTCAAAATTGACTTGACTTGACGGCCCCTAATAACAAAGGCTCCCCGGCGGAGCAGTGGGCTAAGCACTGGACTGCCAATCGAAAGGTCAAGGGTTTGAACCCACCAGCTACTTGGCAGGAGAAAAATGAGGAGCCTGGACAATTCTATGGGGGCAGTTCTCTTATGGCCTGAAGGTCACTATGAATTGAAATCTGCTTGAAAGCAGTGGGTTTTCTGGCTTGCTAACGGCAATAACATGCCACGTGACAAGCAGTCTTAGTGAGATGGTGGAAAACAATGTATGGAGAGCAGAAAAGAACTATACTACAAATGGGAGAAAGTGACTATGGTAAATAAGGTCTTAATGTTAATGATCAGCAGAGAAACACTGTCAGATACAGGACCGGAAGGTGGGAAGGTACTCAGAATG